GGGGAAACAAAACAAAACACCTAAACGCTGTCCTGCGAAGATCCAGAACAAAACAGGAAGCCTGCTTTCAACACTGTTATTCAACATTGCACTGGAAGTCCTAGCCAGAGCAATTAGGAAAGAAAAAGAAATAAATGCTATTCAAATAGAAAAGGAAGAAGTAAACCTATCTCTATTTGCAGAGGACATAATTCTATATGCAGAAAAATCCCAAAAGGATCCACAAGAAAGCTACTAGAGCCAATAAACAGATTCAGCAAAGTTACAGGGCACAGACCGGAAATCAAAAACTCACTCGTGTTTCTATACACCAGCAAGGAACAATCCCCAAAGCAAATTAAGAAAACAATTCCACTTACAGAAACATCTGAAAAATATCTATAAATAAAAAGTAAAATGAACAAACAATATATATTTATCTAGGGTGCCTCTGTAAAGCTCCCCCTCAAACCCCTGGGTTTCAGTGACAGGGAGCTCACTCCCTCTCACAGCTGGCTCTTCGCAGACGATTTCCTTCCGCAGGGAAAAATCAGTGCCTGGGACCCTTCTAAAGCTCAAGAGAGCACCTCTCATCTTCGCCATGATACTGCCTAGAGTCCCTGAGTCAGGGACCCAGCCCCCACACTCTTCCCTTCTGTGGGCTCCTAGCTCTCCCCTCTTGCCCACTAGAAGGATGGACATCGGCCCATCTGTCCTGCCCTCACTTCAGAGCTCCAGTTTGCCAAATATCCCTGAGAAGGGAGTGGCCGCGGCGCGGCGGAGGTTATGGAAAGCACACCTGGGCGGAGAAGCCGCTGTACAAGGCGAACCAGATCTGGACCATCATGCAGGCCACCGTCTTGTAGATGAAGTACCGCAGGAACTTGCAGACCCGCATGTAGGCCCAGCGCCCGTGCACCAGTAGCAGCCGCTTCAGGAAGCAGAACTGGGCCAGCACGTAGTCGCTGTTCTGCACCGCCTGCATGCCCTCCTGACCCGCCAGCCCCACGCCGATGTCCGCAGCTGCGGGGGACACGCAGCCTGTCAGCCCGGGGCGCCCCCAGCCAGCTGCCCCGCCCCTCGCCTGCTGCCTACCACCCACTCTTGATCATGTTGATGTCGTTGGCGCCGTCCCCGATGGCCAGGGTCACCACGCGCTGGTATTTCTTGACCAGCGCCACGATCAAGGCCTTCTGCTTGGGCGTCACCCGGCAGCAGATGACCGCTTGGCACTGGGAGGCCAGCTCCACGAAGGCCTGCTCCCGCCGCACGTCGGGGCTCTCGCTGGTGTTGGAGTCGGTGACCTGCGGCGCCAAGCCCGTGCCCCTCAGCTGGATGCCGAGGGTCCGCCACAGCAGAGATATGCGCCGCGCCCGCAGGAAGTCCGTCCTCCGCTCGTCGGGCTCCTGCCAGGACTCGTCCGCGTCCCTGTTCACCTTGTGGACCAGCGCTCGGGGCTCCTTGCGCAGGGACAGCAGCAGCTGGTCCTGGCCACCGGGGGCAGGGGGCGCATCACTCTGTGCGCACGCCTCCGCTCCGGAAGCGCCCCAGCCGGCCCCTCCTCCCGGGCCTGGCGTCCCAGCGCCAGGCTGGACTTGACCGCGACCCTCCCTTGCTCTGACCCCTCCGAGAACCAGCTCTCTGCTGCTCCTCCCAGCCCCCTCCCCAGTACCAGGGGCTCTGCCGGCGGCCCTGAGCGGACACTGACCAGGAACTCCCCGCTAATGACCATGGCCATCTTGACCTGTGGCAGGAACCGCTTCTTCCGACGGCCCTTGCCACCCCGCACGTTGTTGTTGATCTCCCAGTAGGCTTCCAGGATGCGACTGTGGGGGCCCAGCGGGGGCTCAGCTGCGCCGGCGGGCACAGGCTTCCCTCCACCCCCTTCCCGGCTGGACCTGGCCCCCCCCCCCGTGGGAGTCCAGCCAGGCAGAGACTAAGGGCCCTCCGCAGACCCCGGGAGCCACTCTTGGGCCACGGGTGCGACCCCCGCCCCCCCCCCCCTCCCCCCCTTACACGACAGTTTGTTTCTCAAAGATGAGCATGTCTCATGGTTCGTCTCGGCACGCAATTCCGCCCCCCACCGCTGTCTCTGCAAACCAGCCCGGTTCAACACAGCGGCAGTCCCGCCCCCCGCGGGGGCCACACCCACCCTGCGGGGTAGACCCAGGCCCCCACAATCACATCAGCATGCCCTGCCCCCTGGCCATGAGGATTGGGTCAGAATAAGGCATGTGACTCGGGCCAGCCAATGACAGCCAGCCCTGATTTTTTTGGCGGCAGCTCTGAGCAAAAGGGCCCCCACTTTGGTCCTCTGGCCAGCGAGGCTCTTGGAGGAAGGGCGTCTGGTGGCCACGGCCAAGGGGTCATTGGACATGGCATGCCTAGGCCCCATGGGCACTTCTGAGAACTCACAAAAATGACTTAATTTCTTTTAAAATCGGAAGAAAAAAAAGAAAAAAGATAATCCAGCTTGGATATTTGTCAGCTGCAAATGTCATTTTAAGTATTTTGTGTGTATACGCCTGGTGCGCACGTAAGTCCTAACGCAGCCCTGCTGGCACACACGGCCAGGGGGCCCCAAAGAACCCGCAGGGGAAAGGAGGAGATTCGGGGCTTGCGGGACCCAAGTCCCTGGGCATCCTCCAGCATGCGCCCCAGAGTTCTCGGAGCCCTGCTTGGCCCATCTATCACACAGGCGTAACAAGGGCCAAACGCTCAGGAAGTGCTCAGCACAGTGCCAATCCACCCCAAGGAGGTGTCGGGGGGCGGGGAGACCCCAGCATTTTGAATGGTTCCCATTTCTCCCCTCCCGGGACAAGGTGGAGGGCAATGCCGAGCCCGGGCACGTGGGACAGGCTGTCGGTGGCGCAACAGGCAGGTGAGGAGCTCTCTCCCACCCATCCCCCTTCTCTCTGCGCTGGGCGTGGCCGCCCTGGGACCCACCTTGCTTATCCCCTGTGAGTACCCACACTTTGATACTCCCCTGCTTGAGACACTTGATCGTGTCGCAGACGCCGTCCTGGAGTCTGTCCTCAATGGCCGTGACTCCCAGCAGCTGGGGGGTGGGGTGCAGGGGGCAGGAGGCAGACTGAGTGGGGACTCGGCTCCCTGGCGGGGGGGGTGCAGGGGGCAGGAGGCAGACTGAGTGGGGACTCAGCTCCCTGGCGGGGGGTGGTGTGCCGGGGCCCCGGCCCTCCAGGCTCTGCACACCTGGAGGCCCTGCTCCATCTCCTCGTACACCTGGTGCAGGGCGTGGGCCCGGTTCTGCAGCAGGATGCCGGCCTCCTGGTGCCGCTGACACCACTCCTGATACACATCCTCGTCCACCTCCTTGTAGGCCAGGCACAGGGTCCGCAGGGTCTGCTCAGCAAAGGACTGCCGGCAAGAGGCCGGGTGGGTGGGCCCTGGCATCACCCTGTCACCAAACACCCTGCCTCCCTGACACTCCTCCAGCCCTTCTCCCTGCTTGGGTCCCCCAAACCTTGACCCCCGACCACCGCCTAGGCCCCCCCCCCCCGCCCATGCTCGGCTCTGTCCGGCCTCCACACCTCTGCCCCTGCCCTTCCTCCTGCCAGGGACACCTCCCTTCGCTTCGCATGGCAACTTCTAGCTGTTCCAAAGACCCTCCCTTCCCCAGTCAGGGCCCCTGCAGCCCCGGACCCTCCCTCTGGTCCCTCGACTTAGGAATGTCTGGACCCCACACTCTGCCTCACTTCTCGAGGGGCCTCTTGGGGGTGGGGCGGGAACAGGAAGGATCACGTGGGACTCCGTCTCCAGGCCCCCCAGAAGAACACCCGCTCACCTCTGGGACACCCCAAGGAAGGTACTCCTCATGGCTCCTTACTTTCTGCCTACCCACCCCCCACCCTGCCCCAGGTTTTCTGCCCCAGTGGGCAGCCCCAGGTCTCGCTTTTGCTCTTGACTGGAGGTGGGTCTGAAAGGCTGGGCTTGGGCACAACAGGGGTTCCTTGCACATCCGAAGAACCAGACAGGCCTTCGCTGCTCTTGTGCCTCGGTTTACCTATTTGTTCTACAAGGCAGTTGAGCCAAGCCATCTTGCCGAGCTCCTGGGCTCCGTGTCATTATTCTGTATGCATTTCCCCAGCTCAGAGTCAGAGATCAGAGGCCGGCCCCCCAACTCCCTCCTTCAGCAGAGTTCCACACCACCCCCCACTCCCAGCAGAGCAGGGCACTGTGGGAAGCTCCAAGTGGAGGGACGCAGGACTTTCTTTCCATAAACACCCCCATTGGCCCCTGGGCTAGGTGATGCTGGAGACCTAGCAAAGCCCTTAGGAAGCCCTATAGGGTCAGGGCTGGGCCAGAGAGAGGACGCCGGACATGACATGACAGCCCTATGTTATGGCTGGGGCAGGAAAATCTCCTTGGAGGTGATCTTGCATCTGAGGCTTGAGGACTAGAAGATCCTGAGTGACAGAGTGGAGGAAGGCATTCCAAGCAGAGGGGTTATATGTGCAAAGGTCTTGAGGCATCATCTGAGCATGGGGCAAATTGCAAGCCAGAAATTGGGGTCCTGGGAAATCCCCTGGGGGCAAGGAGATACCAGGCTAGAGAGACCAGTAGGAGACAGACAGAGCCTCAACAGCTGGGTGGAGGAGTTTGGGCGCCACCCATGGAGCAAAAGACTTGAGGCAAGGAGGGCTGAGCATGTCTTAAAACCCAGGCCTGGCTAGGAGAAGGGGGGCAGTGTCCAGGGCCAAAGTCCAACCACAGGGTGTCCTTGTGTGACTTCGAAAAAGATGTCCCCTCTGGACAGATACAGCTTAGAGTTCAGCTCCTTCCCAGCCGTGTGTGTTGGTGTGTGTGCGCGCACGTGCGCAGACACGGGGGGTTGTGCAGTGCACAACCTGGACAACTGTACACGGCCAGCCTTGGTGCGTGCCCTTTCTCTGCGCACTCTCCTCCTCTTCCCCCTCTCCCTGTCCCTGTGCCCTCACCTCCTGCCCCCTGCCCCCCACAGCCTCTCCTCCCACAGGGACTCACAGCCAAGGCCTCCTCTGTGGTCCACTCTTTCATGCCTTTCTTGCGCAAGCGTTCAAAGATGACCACGTCAGCGCCCTTGGTGTAGAGGTAGATGGAGCCCTCGGGGTTGCGGACTGCAGAGGGAGAGGCCTGGCTGCCCACATGCTCTACCCTGCCGGCCCACCACACTCTCCCCTGCACGGACACTTACCCAGCACTGACATGCGCTTGCGTATGCTGTTGAAGTCCATCATGGCCAAGACCTGGTACACCCGTTCCTCCCCCAGCTCCATCACCGTGATGCTGTCCTGTGTGCGCGCCAGGAACACGTAGCCGAAATTCCGGGCCGCCGTGACCAGCGCCTCCTCATCGGGGGATGCGGCCTGGTACACCAGCTGGTCTGGTCAGAGAGGGAACCACGGGGTGGGAGGGCGCCTTCCCTGGAGCTTGCCCTCCATCAGGACCCGCCACTCATCTATGGCAGGTCCCACGTCCGTCTCCAGAGCACAGGGAAGGAAATGGACCCAGTAGACAGTCAGCAGACGTTTACGGGACGGTGGTCTCCTGGGCTGGTATGACCTCTCAGCCCCGTAAAAGAAGGGGGGTGCTTGGGCCCCGGTCTGAAGGGCCTCTCCCTCCCAGCAAGAACAGATCTCGAGTCACAGGCCTGGACACCCCGAGATCCAGAAGAGGCAGGGCTTGGGACAGTGAGAGGAGCCCTGGTGATGGGGCTGGGCAATCTCTAAGGCCAGGGGAGCATGTCAGGGGCCCCGGGGCCTGAGCACCCTCCCAGGCGGGGAGAGGGTGGCCGCACTCACTGTCCTTCTCCTGCACCATCACGGTGTGGCAGATGGCCAGCAGGCGCCAAAACTCCCGCACCATCTTGTCCTCATTGTCCCGAACAGCGCACATGAGCTTCGCGTTTCGGTAAAGAAACTTCCCATCGGCAAATTTGTTCCAGAGGTAGGGGTTCTCCTGTGTGGCGGGGTGAGGGGCAGGTGGGTTGTGGGCGCGTCCCTGATCGCCCCTGCCCCCCACCGTCCAGCACTGCAGGGTGCCAAGGGCTCACCTTACGTGGGGTCTCCTCCTCTTCATCCGGGCCTGGGGAAAGACCCCCCCCATCAGGCCTCAGCTCTCCTGGACCCACGGGGATCCCACAGCCCCCGATCTCCACTGTCAGGCTTCCTGGGGCCACTGGATACAGCGGACAAGCTGGGCCTGGGGCTCTGGACCCGACACCCCAAGCAACCAAGGACCCCCCGCCTCAGCTCTGCCTTCCGCAAAGGAGGCCAAGAGGCAGCCACAGCTCCTGGGGGTCCCAGGGACAGCCAAGGGCAGAACGCAGCCTCATGGAGCGTGCACTGTGTTTGATCTCTCCATGGTTATCTTCTTACAACTTGGATTTCGCTGCCTACTTTGGAAAAATTGGTGGTTCCACATAAAAACCTGGGTCCTCAACCCTTCTAGAAACATCAGAAGACCCGGCTGGGGGTAGATGCTGTTCGCCACAGACCCTGCTGCTCCCTATCGCCCCTCGGGCCCTGGCTGAGGGTGGGTGGAGTTTCCAGGAGGGCATGGGCCCGTTCCTGTCTCCCCCGTACCACCCGGGCGGGCCCTCTTTCACCTCCTGGTCTCCACGTGCCCTAGTTTACGACAAGGACGGATGAGGCCCCGCCCACCACTGTTTGTGTGGTCTCTGAGCTGACAGTGGCTTTCCGGTTTCCAAATGACTGGGAGGAAACCCAGAAAGACTTCTCTCGTGACACCTGGAAATGCTGGTGAGCGTCCACGCGGAAGGTTTGTTTGTGAAAACCCAAAGAAGAGTCCTGTCCCGCCGTGGGGCAGGTGTGAGGACAGCGGACACCCGTGTCCGTAGCTGCCCGCCCGAGGCCCCCGGCACGCTCCGCCGGCCCGGAGGCAGGGCAGACTCCTGGGCGCTGCAGGGGGCAGGGGACCCACCGTAGATGACACCCCCAATGCAGCATTTCTTGAAGGTCATGACGTTCTGGGTGAGGGTGCCGGTCTTGTCTGAGAAGATGTACTCCACCTGGCCCAGCTGGTCGTTGAGGCTAGTGCTGCGCGCCTTGGCGGGCTCGTCCTGCGGCGCAGAGTACATGTGCACATCCCAGTTGATGAACATGCTGTTCCCCAGGTAGATGAATTCGACCCTGCAACGCACGCCGGTCACGCCCGATCCCCCCACTCTGACAGAAGGGCGGGGGTGGGGCGGCCTGACTCACATGATGAACATGGCCATGGGCACCATGACGCTCAGCAGGATGAGGAAGCCCCAGAAGATGAGGAAGGTCTCGGTGGCCACGCTGTGCAGGTCCTCGGAGGGCACGTAGTGGTGCTTGGCCTTGAACTCCTTCACCTTGAACCAGAAGCCGAAGCTCAGTGCCAGGGAGATCAGCACCAGGGACACGAAGATCTGCGGGGAAGGGAGGGTGGCGGTGGAGCAGGTGCAGGTAGGGAGCCCCGGGCGGCACACGGACACCCCGGGGACCCACCGCAGGGCCGCGAGGATGGCCCCCTCCCCAGCCAGCCCTGTCCACGGGCCCAGCAGAGGGGGCTGGAGGCCAGGGGGGCCTGCAGGCGGCTCTCATCAGGCCTTGTGGCTGCTATCAAATTATTATTACAATAACTTCAGAGGAGATAAAGTTAATTAAGCCAGAAGTTAAGGACCATTAACTGTCAGTGGAAGGGAGGCGAGCATTTCATTGCCTCCTGCACGTCTGGAGAACATCCAGATCAACATTTACTTCCTAAGGACATTCCTACTTGACTGTTGCCTCACAGGAAGACTCTGGCCCACAGGCCTGTCCTGGGATCAGGCTGCGCAGCCCGCACAGCGGGGGCGTCCCCTCCCCCCCCTCCCGCCCCCTCCCCGGGCGCCCAGGGCAGTGGCCCCTCACCAGCATCACCAGCCTGTTCATCAGATGGTCTATCTTGGTTCTCTTCAGATGGATCTTGCCGCAGTTCTTCATGATCTTGGTGTCGAAACCTGCAGGGTTTGCGTCCACTCACCCCTGCGCCCGTCCATCTGCTCGCCCCCCCTTCCCCTCCAGCCGCCCCCACGTCCGTCCACCTACATCCAGCACCCTGCACACGACACTCCCTTCTCCAGCCGCAATGAGGGTGCTTGCTGGCTCCGCCGGGCCTGGCCGGGGACCTCCTGCCCGTGACTGCGGAGCCCCCACCGCCCCCCGCAAACCCCAGTGGCCATACCAGCATAGATGACCATCCCGTAGCAGGTGTCCGTGTTCCGGACCCTGCAGCCGCGCAGAAGCACGTTGCCGCTGTCCAGGGGGTGCTTCCTGCCGCCCCACTCCAAGCACCCCACAAAATGGTGCATCCGGCTGTTGGGCTCCTCACACACCACCTTGCCTGTGGGCCAGGGGGCGGTCAGGGAGCCACCCAAGCAGGGGGCCACCGTCACGGGGCCTGGTGTCACTGATGTCTGTGAGCTCCGTGGGAGAAGGCGCCAGCCTCGTCTCGTGCAGGCCCACACTCGCCCCACTGGCCTCACGGCTCCTCAGACAAGCCCTCCCCGTGGAGCCCCCTGCTCATGGGTATGACCCCGGCACGTCACTGGGCCTGGTGTCACTGATGTCTGTGAGCTCCGTGGGAGAAGGCGCCAGCCTCGTCTCAGTCACACTGAGGCCCCAGAGCCCAGCCCCGCCCCTGGCATACAGTAGGTGCTCAGGAAACCTTTGAGGAGGGGAAGAAAGAAAGGACACCTACATCCAGCACCCTGCCACCACAGGGGACAAATGCAGGGCACTCTTCTGCCACCACCGCACAGTGAGTGGGCATCTCCAGCCCCACTTCTCTTTGAGAAACTACACTCGGGGTCACAGGCTGGCCCGGGGCAGGGTCAAAATGACAATGAGGTGTGGGCTGGGGCCCTGGGAGGGAGCAAGCTGGGGGGCCACAGGCCTGCTCCAGCGCCGAGAGCCTGGGTTTGTCCTCAATGTAGAAATGGCAGGCCTGGCGGGGGGGCAGGGGAGCCAAGGGGCAAGCCCGCTCCTCCCGTCACCTCTCCAACCCAGGCTCCTCCTCTGAAAGATGGGCCACGCCTTGCAGGAGCCCTGCCTGGGGCAGCTGGGGCAGGTGCGGGCCTCGAGGGAGGTGTCCGGACTGGTGCAGCCACCCTCCACACAAGCCAGCCTTTTCCCTGGATATCGTGACAGACAGGCAACCAGAACAGGACACAGATTCTGCTCCAGGACCCATTGGAGTGATGTGCCTTTGCAACAAGCCAGGATAAAAATCAAGCATCCCCTGGCTGGGGCACGACGAACACCAACTGTGTCCACAGCTACGGAATGTCTTGCTTTCCAGGCAGAAAATAAGAAACGTCAAGGACTCCCTGTCCCGTGGGCTTTGCCACCGCACGTAGGTCGTGAGCCCACGTCCACAGACTGCCTTTTCGATTAAACAGCCAAACGTGTTTGGCTTTCAGTGGCCGTGCGTTACAAGTAAGACATAATGCCCGATAAAATGCTGCCCTTCGTACTGTTGACAACAGGGAACGCCCCAGCGCTTACGTCGTTTGAGAGGACGAGAAACAGGCCCGGGGCAAGCCCACCTCTTAAAGGCCGTCCTGGCCCCCAACACCCCCTAGACACCCCATAACCGTCCCCCAAGCCCAGCAAGGTGGGGAAATTTTGCACCCACTGCACAGAGGGGCAGATGGAGGCCCAGGAGGGGCAAACAGGTCTGCTGCCTCTCACCTTGGAAGGAAGCCATGTTCCTTATATTGGTCAGCTCGAGGTGGGTGACCAGCGGGGCCTGCCTGAACTTCAAGTTGGTCTCCCTGGTGATGAGATGGGGAGCTAAGCACCTACTGTGTACCAGCTGCCAACCAGGAGGCTGAGGCCCAGAGGGCAGGGCCTTGCCTCACTTCCCGCGTTCAGCGTGGCCGCACGCGGAGCACACCGGGGCCTCCAGGAACGTCGGCGTGAAGGGGGGTCCCTTGCTCGGGGCTAATCTTACTGGCCCTGCCGGCTTGCAGGTGCCCCACGAGTGTTCATGGGGCGAATGACCAGAATGTCCAAGTGGGCTCGCTGTGCCAACTCTCCGGCCCTTGGGGAAGGTCTTGCACCCAGAGCCCCAAACCCCTAGTGATGAGCCCCTGCTCACCCATCAATGTCTGCGGTCTCCACGTAGCACAGACTGCTGGGCTCCGTGCTGGCCAGCAAGAGCAGGTCGGCCTGGGGTGGGGAGGGGGTCACGAGGAAACAGCACTGTCAGGGGGCAAGAGGCAACGGAGCAGGAAGCCGCCCTCCCCCTGGAGCCCACCCACTCACCGGGACGATGTTGTCTCTGTGCAGACACACCAGGTCTCCCACATGCAGGTTCGCCCATTTCTTCCACAGGAAGCTGCGGTGGTGGGGGCGGTGGCGGGTGTGAGAGGGGGCCCCTCCACGCCCAGCCTTGGCCACCCCCAGCTCAAAGAGCAGGGCTTCCCACCGGCAGCTGCCCGCCCCCAGTCCTGCCAGAGGGCCGGCCTTCACTGACCCCCCACTACCTGGTCCCTTCCAGGCCCTCCCCCCCCCACCCCTTTAGACCCTCAGCCTCCGCCCCCACCGCAGGGCCCATCCCAGGCTTGAGAGACAGTAGCCACTTAGGAAGGGCAGGCCGGGTCCCATGGGACTCAACCAGGTACTCCTCCCTGTCGCACCCCCCTCCCCCGCCAACGCCCTCGGGGTCACGGGCCTCACCTCTTCCCCACCAGGATCTGGCACGGCCTGTTGTTGACGATCCTGTCACTTCTGTGTCGCCCCTGGGCTGACGGGGGGGGGGGGGGCGGGTCAGAGGGACGGCCCCACCCCCAGCCAGGCCCCCAGGCCCCCCAGGTAAGGGCTCAGGTGCAGAGCAAGCCGTCCACACGGGCGTCTGTCCAGAGCGCGCGGCGTCAGCGGCAGGAGGCAGATTCTGCTTCCACCCGTGTGAGTGCCCTCCCCCCACACCCGCCCCCACGCCACACACCCCCAACCACACTTACGATGTCATCCACCAGGTCTCGGGTGGCCCGGATGATGAGGAGGCCCATGAGCGGGGCAAAGAGACTGAACCAGGGCAGCGTGGAGATCTCGGGGAAACCCTGACGTGGCAGGTGGGTCATGCCAGTCCGTCCCCCAGGCACCACCCTGACCGCCTCCCCCTGCCCTCCCACCAAGCACCCCCAGCCTTCCAACCTGGCTTCCTGGGTCCACCTGCTGACCACCTCAGCCCAGGGCCAAACCTCAGGACTGGTCCTTCTCCAGAACTTCTCCCCAGCACACTCCTCCTCCCCTCCATGCCCAGCTCCCATGTCACCTCCTCCAGGAAGCCCTCTCAGCCCAAGCTGTTCCCTCCTCGGGGCCTTCACACTCACTGTTCCCCTCCCAGTAACCCTGCTCCTCCCCATCAGCTCCTCCAGTGGCCCACAGACCAGCCTGGGTGGGGAGTCCCTGTCCCCATCACTGGTGCCCACCACGTGGTGTGATGTCACCCCACCAGTCCCCAAGCCACCTGAAAACAGGTGTCAAGGTCACTGCCAGGTCCCCGATGCCTAGCATAGGACCCGCACGCAGTAGGTGCTCAATAAGTTTTTATTGGATCTTTACTCAGAACAGAATGAGATGCTGGGTGAGGGTCAGGGTGCTCTGGAAACTGCCCCCCCCTGCTGAGAGAGGGAGGTGCCCATGCCCAGACCACCCAGGCAGTGGGAAGTGGCCCGGCAGGTTCTGAGAACATGCTCTTGACCCCTGCTTCCTCCTTGCCCTCTGGGGTCAGCTCCTTGGACCTGAACGAGCCGTGCATGCACCTTCATCATTCAACATACATTGAGCACCCCTCTGTGCCAGGCCCCGCCCTGGGCAGCAGGGCCCCAGCGATGAGTGTGGGAGCCAGACACTGACCCACTAAGCACCCAGACAAGAGCACAGTTAAACTGCCCTGGGTCTACAGAACCCTGGGGCAAGGGATGTCAGGGAGGGCCCCTGGAGAAGGCAACGTGAGCGGGGGGCTGCCCCCACCCTGCCACACCTGGAGAATGATGATAAAAAGGAAGTAGAGGTTGGAGATGCGGCAGAACTGCTCACACAGGTTCAAGGGCAAGAAGGAGAAGACGTTGTACTTGGCAGTGTAGATGACATTGCTCTGGAATGAAAGCCGGCACAGCATTGCAGCCCAGGCCAGGGGCCCCCCCACCTACCCTGCCTGCCCTCTGGCTGCCACCAGCATTGGCTGAACGCCTGCTGAATGCCAAGCCTTAAGCTGGCATTTCTGAGCCCCACTGGGTGCGAAGACCCACGGGGCAGAGCCACGGCCCCCGTATTCCCTAGAGTGAGACACATGCAAGGGGTTTGGGGTCGAGCCCCATGGACATACTGCACTTTCAAGGGTTCCTAGGAACTCGTCACAGTGCGAGGCTCCAGCCCTCAGGGTTAACGTGGGGGTGCGGGGTGCTGTGGGGGAGGCCGGCGCCGTGAGACCGGGGCTGCCCACCTTATACTTCTGCCTCTGCCAGCACAGGAAGCTCTTCTTCTTGAACTGGCTGTTGTGGGCCCTGCTGTTGGCTTTTACCTCCCAGGTGAATGCTGAAGCCAGAGTGAGCAGGGCATCGTGCAGGGCCGCGGACAAACACAGGCTAACGACACCCCAGCGGAGGGCTAATGGGCCCCCAGGGGACCCAGCACTGGGGACACTCAGTGGGCAGGGTGGGGACACTCAGCGCATGGCCAGGGAGCCGGTAAACAAATGGGATGGCCCCTGCAGCCCCGCCTCCCCCCGAGCCCCCAGGAAGCTTGCCAGGAGCCAGAGGGAATCCGAGCAGTGGGCCCTGGCCTGGGCCAATCCCTAGGCTACAAGAACAGGCTCTGGGAGACCCATTTACACCCATTCAGTCTACGGAGGAGGTAAACTGAGGCCCAGTGATGCGCTCCAAGGTGATGGGCTGCAGGCCCTGAATCCCAATCTGGCATTCAGTCATCAGGTTTGGGACTATTTATAACCCAACAAGAGCCCTACACTGGGCCTGTGTGTGGGTTTGGGGGAGCCTCCTCAATCCCCCCACCTCAGCCACTACACTTTCTGATGCCCCTTCGCCCCCTCGCCCAGACTCAGGACACGCACCTGTGTTCTTCTCCTCCTCGAGGTCCTCTCGGTAGGAGAGACTGCCCATGCTGGTGCGGCTGTGGGGAGAGGGCCCAAAGTCACACCAGGGGCCCAGCCCTTGCTGGACCATCGTCCCATTCTCTGCGCTCCTGGGGACTCACGGTCTGAGAGTGGGCCCTCTAAACTGTCACCTCCCATGACCGCCAGCCACTGGCTGTGTCCTTCTCCGGGTGTCCTCAGGCCCAGTGGGGCCCAGGCTGACCCCCAAACCTACAACGGCCTCACATCCCGCAGCCCCCAAGCTAGCAACCTGCCTCGTCTTCCCGCATTAGAGCCCAACCCCTAGGAGGAAGGGTTCCCTCTCTGGCCACTGCTCCCCACCCCATCACCTCTGCCGGCATGCCCACACCCACCCCTTCCCTGGTCGTCCTGCGCCCCCTCCTGCCCCAATCCCCGGAACCACACACATGCTCAGCCCACTTAGGTGCCCCATCAGTGTTTGTTGACTGACTAAGTGGGGCCCCACGGTTATATGTTAGCTCTGGAAGGGTGTATATGAGGGTCAAGCTCTTCAGAGAGGTCTGGGCGTGGTCTTGGGGCAGCTGACCGCGATGGGGAAGATGGGGGCAGACACCGCGCCTTCTACGAGCCTGGAACGCTCCCACCATCCAGCTCGTGCTTGACTGTTGCCCTCCCATGCCAGGAACTTGAGTCTAACCAGGGGACCCTCAGCAGCTCCCCATGTGACCCTCCACCCCCCCAAGCACGCAGCAGCTCCCCGCCTCCCGGAGCCCCTGAACGGCTGTTTCTTCCACCGCGAGTAGCTCTGCCCAAAGCCTGGCCGGTGCCTCCTCACCCTTCTGGTTTCAGCTCATACTTCTCAGACCATCCACGCTCGTTCAGGTGCCTCCTCTGGGCTCCCCCTCTACCTGGAGCGTCCCCCATCCCAGGTCTGATCCCCCCTCTCTCCTCTGCTTCTCTCCCTGTCGGGGCTGCCTGCTGAAGTCAAACTTTCAGGGCTGGCCTCTGAGTCAACAGCGTCCCCAGGCCCCGAGGGGGAGGACCTGGCTCAGAGCCGGTTACGTTGCTCCCGGGAGCCCGAGCTGGGCCAGTGCCCATTCACCAAATGAGGAAAAGTGAGGCCCGGGGTGAGCGAGGCTTAGCCAAGCGGGACCCAGAGGCCGGGGAGACCCAGCGGGGGGCGGATGGGGCCGGAGGGCAGAATCCACTCCAAGTTCGTGTGGGGGCAGAAGACGCCCCCTCCCCCAGTGCTGGCTCCCCCTGCCTTCCCACGTCCAGCTCATCAGAAGCCTCGAGCATCCGGCAGCGGCGGTGGCCAGACGCCGGAGCCCCCCGGGGCGGGAGACCTGGGTCCACAAGACCCCGGGCGCTGCGGCTCCCCCACTGGACTCCGCCCCGCGCGAACCTCCAGCGACGCCCGCCGCGGCCGCCGCGACCTCACACCCTCAGGCTGGGCGGAGTCCAGAGAGGGTGCGCGGGCGCCCGGGGACACACAGCAGCGGGAGCGCCGCCGCTCACCTGCGCGGGCCGGGCCGGGCGGTCCGCGGGTGGCCGGGGCGGCGGACGTGGCGCAGCTGTTAGCCCGGTGCCAACCGGCCTGAAACGGGCGGCACGGGCCCTTCTAAAACTGGGCGGGGCCCGGGCCGCCCTGGGGGCGGGGCCTTCTACAGTTGGGCGGGCCCGAGGGGCCGGAGGCAGCCCTGGGGGCGGGTTATGTAAATGACGGTACCGAAGGGGGCGGGGCGGCTTTGTAAGCCTGGCCGGGGCGGGGGCCGCCTGGGGACGGGGTTCTGCAAATGGGCGGGCCCCGAGGGGCGGGCGAGGCGGGGCGGAGCCTCACGGAGAGGGCCAGGTGGAGCCTGGGGCGGTCTCTGCAGTGGTGCCAGCCAGAGGAGGGGCGGGCCCAGATCCAGGGTTGGGGCTTTGCAAGGAGTTGAGGGGTGTCAAGGTAGGGGTAGGCTGGGGAGGGTCAGTGGGCGGGGCCTTGCACAGCAGGCCCAGAGTACTAATGGGCCTGTAATTTAGGAGCAGGGTCTCGGTAGGATGGATTGGACCTGGCCATGGTTGGACGGGGCGGGGGGGCGCGCAGAGTGGGGCTAGGAACACAGGAAAGCCGCACAGGCGATCACAGGTCTAAGCTGTGTGCCTGGGTTGTCCCTCACTCATCCTGTACCTGTTTAATGAGCACCTTCCTACAGGTGTAGTTTTGGGCCAGGGCTGGGGAGGACGTTAGAGGAAGCCCACGAGGTTCTGGCCCGGTGTGTGCTCACCCAGCGGGTGGCCAGGGCTCCAGGGGCCTTCCTGAAGGTGACAGGCGTGGGAGACAGCCATAAGGCAGGGTCATCGCCAGGCCCCAGAGGTGGGCAACTTGAGCCAGGGCGGGAGGGGCTGCTGACTCTAGGGCCTCCCTGAGTGGGGTTCAAGGGAAGGGGCAAACTCGGGAGGGCAGAAGAGATGATTGAGCGCTGTCTTTCCTATTTTCACTTTTAGAAACCGTCTGAAGTGTGGAAATTAGGAAGGTAGTTGGTACTTTCCCGCCTTTTCTGCACTTTCCCACCCTCACCACCCTTCCCTCTTAGTCCTGGGATCCCTCCCTCTGGCGCATTCCTGATCCAACAGACCTGGGACCTGCACCTGATTCCATGCCCCAGCCTCCCGTCTCTGCCTGGGGCCTGGAGCCCTTCACAGCAACACCTGTGAGCAAATGTTGGGTGAATGAATGAGTGAGTGACGGTGTGGTGAGGACAGCACAGAGGATGTGACCTCCACCATCAGGGCGGCAACCCCCTACTCCTTGTCCCTTGGAAGCCTGGTCTGCACACCCTCCTTGGCCTGGGGAGGGGAGAGCAGGTAAACCTCCCATTTATTCATTCACTCAACAAACACCCAGCCCCGTCCCCGTGGTTAATGGGAAAGACCCTGGGGCGGTGGTGGCGGAGGCGGGGTGGGACGGGGAGGGGGGGGGCGCTGGCACAAATTGTTCTAATAGTCTTTAGGAGAGACTTTGCTGGGTCCGCGAACCCCATTCCCTCCCTGGGATTTGCAAAGGCCCTGCAGCCTCCAAGAGTCAGCATCTTTGGCCAGCTAAAAGCTTGCACTCCTCCTCCCGGTCTCCCTGGGGGGCTCGGTATGCTCTGGGGAGGCAGACACCACCAGAAGCACAGAAACAGGGGGCACCTGGGCGGCTCAGTCAGTGAAGGGTCCGACTCTTGATTTCAGCTCAGGTCTTGACTTCAGGGTCCTGGGATCCAAGCGCTGCGTCGGGCTCCGCGCCAGGCGTGGAGCCTGCTTGAGATTCTCTCTCTCCCGCTGCCCCCTCTCCAAACAAAAACAAAAACACAGAAACCGGCCGTGCCATTTATTTAGGAAACAACTACTTATTTACAGAAGAGGTGGGAGAAAGTCAGACGGTCACAAGAACGTCAGGGGGACGCAACAGTGGCTGGGTCAACACTCCCCCTGGAGGGCCCCCCCGGATCCAGAGGCAACCAGTCCTTGGCAGCGATGGCCCAGGACACCTTGGGGGCAGAGGCTGCTGTGTCCTCAGCCTGGGACCCTGCTCTCTGGGCCTGCAGCAGAAGCTTGACAGAGAAGCAGGGGGCCTCCTCCAGGCAGCCCTCCCTCCAGCACCTGCGTGTTCCTGCCTCCAGACCTAGGGCACTCGGGTACCTGCCCCTCCACGAGGTTATTTCTGGCTCCACTTCCCATTATAAATGAACTAAAGGTGGAGACCCGAGCAGCCCTGGCCCTTCCACCCCAAGAGGCACCGTAATTCACAAAGCCGCCAATTCCATCGCTGGGCGTCGTGCACACAAGCATGTCTGGGAGCAGCAAACAGGCACACGGCGGTGAGCGGCCACCCTTCCCTCTCCACGGAAGCTTCTCAGACACGCAAGGCACAGTGGCTCTCCGGTCCCACCGGGACCCTCCACGCCCAGCCCCTCACCCCCCGGGCCAGCAAGGTGGACCCCACTCACAGGACATGGTTGCTGCTTCCACCATCACAGCACCCCCAGGGCTCCAGGTCTGCATTCCCAGGCCAGGCTGGCAGGCCCGGGGACGGCTCGGGCACTGGGGACGGCTCTCAGGAAGATGAACAAGGGTGTGCTGTTTCCCCAGTTAGGGGCACAGGTGCTGACCGTGGGGCTCACCTGGCACCAAGAACACCACCAGACGCCACGCAAGCTAAAATCCATACAAACATTTATTCCGTCCCTGCCTCGGGTTGGGGGAGAGGGGCTCAGGGCCCTGGGGAGGCTGTAGGCCTTTACACACAGCCCCTGGGGAGGGTGGGGCTCTGGCAGGAAGACAGGGGCCAGAGGCTGATGGGCCCTGGAGGGGTCCGGAAGGCGAGGCCCTGGGGGAGGGCAGGGGAGCTGGCTTGGTTCCCAGAGGTCACGGAGTCCAGGTGGGTTTGGGGAGGCCAGTTCCCACCCGTCTGGCCCAGGCCAGGCTGGACTCTCGGTCCTGGTGGCTGCCAAGGGGACAGCTTGTCGGCTCCCGGCCCCCCAACTTCTCCCCCTCCCCCGCCCCCAACAGGGAAGGCAGCACCAGGGTCTTGCTTCTCCGGGGCGGGGAAAAGACAACTGTGCGAGTCGTCAGGTTTAAATTACAAATAATAAAAATAACAATACAAAATAAAAAAAACCCCTGTCTCAAACACACCCACGAAAAGCCTGCCCGGCAGGAGGAGGGGCAGGAGGTCTGGCTGCCAGGGACGCAGCGGGGCCCACGGGGGGGCCGGGGGGGGTCTGTCCCGGCCTCCACCGGGAGTCAGCAGCAGTCTCCAGAGGACAGAAGGCGGGGGCGGCGCAAGGGGCCGGGTGGGGGGCAGGGCTCCAGGTGGTCTCGGCGTGGGGCTCTCGTGCCGCCGGCTCGTCCCACTCTCTCTGTTTCCATGTCTTGGTGATGTGGACAGGGTTAGCTCTCGAGATTTATTGCACTGTTTTGGAAGAGGCCTGGGGTAGAGGCCGGGCCGGGGCTGCGGGGAAGGCGGGCAGGCGGCAGCGGTCACCGCTTGGTCTTGGCGTCTTCTCGGATCTTCCAGATCACCAGGTGCATGCAGGCGCTGGCGTCCTCGCTGGAGCTGTGCCCGTCCACTGCAGAGCGGGAGGGGAGTGCGTCAGGGTGGGCGCGCCCCCCAGGCCCGGCCCCGCCGCCCCGCCGCCCACCGGCTCACCGTTGTCCTGGATGATCTGTCTGAGGTAGTCAGCCATGAGGTTCCGCAGGGAGCGCTTGTAGGGGAGGCCCAGGCGGTGCGGGAAGAGCACGGACGTGTCCACCACGGTGCTGTGGATGACCTGTGGGCGGGCGGCTGGGCAGAGACCGCAGGGACCAGGGCCCCAGGGAGCCAGGGTAGGAAGGTGCCCGGGGTCGGACCACCGAACTCCTGCCCCTCCCCCCACCCAGCTGAGGGCCCCGGGCCCAGGACCCCCGGCAGGCGGAGCCCGGGGCGGGCGGTACCTTCAAGGCCAGCAGGTCGCTCTCCAGGCTGTGTCCGATGAGGACGGTGTCGGCGCTGAACATGCTCAGCAGGACGGCCTGGACGTCCCGGAGCGAGATGCTCGTGTTGGCGAGGTCAGCCTCGGTCACCCCTGAAAACCTGCGGTGGGCAGAGTCGGGGCCTGAGGGTAGCTAGAGAGGGGTCTGGGGTTCCCGAGCCCGGAGCCGGGCGGGGAGCGGGGGGTCGGGGCCGCACCTGGTGTTGTAGTCAACGATCTCGTTGTCTGGCTTGACGAAGGTGTCGTAAACCACCTGCATGTCCGTGTCCACCACCGTGACGCGCGTCAGCTCCAGGCCGTATGTGGTGTAGGACTGCGCGGCCGGGAGGGCTCATGTGACAACGCGCCCGCCCCACCCCGAGCTCCGGGGGAGCTCCCGGGGGCTCCTCTGGGAGCCGGAGCAGGCGTGAACCCGGGGTGCCCTTGCTAAGCCCCAGCAGGCCCCGGTGCGCACGCCAGTCCCGAGTAAACGCAGCCGTGTCGTCAGCGCGCCTGGGGCGAGCCGAGGGCCGAAGCCAGAGCTTCGCTTGGCGGTGGGGAAAAAGCCCGCTCTCACAGCCCGAGCCAGAGAGAGGCCGGCGCCCGCCGCTGCCCGCGGCTCTTCCCCTCACCTGCTCTATCCTGAGACCCACGCCGGCTCCAAGCTGCGGGTGTGGGTGCCCGGCCGCCACGAGCACGCGCGGCACGCAACTCACCATTTCACAGTCGAGGGCGAAGATCCCTGGGTGAGCGTCTTCCGCAAGTTCTTTATCGAAAGTCTTCACAAAGCCTTCGAGGTTTTCCTTCCGGCCGTCCTGCACGTGTTGCTGCAGGCGAGACAGGAAGGCCGGTGAGCCCGGCGTGGGCTCGGGCCGGGCGGTGTCCGGGGGACGCCCCCCTTTCCAAGGCCGCCGCCAGAGGCACACGGATGAAAGGACAGGGAAGGGGGGTCAGGGCTCCGGCCCAGCCGCGCCTCCTCTCCGGCCAGGTGGGGAAGCGCCGAGCAGGGCCCGAGAGACCTACCTTGGCGACCTGGCAGCCAGTGGAGCCGATGGCGGCCGAGCAGCACGTGTACTGAGTCTCCCAGCCGCCAGCCACTGGAAGGGAGGTGGCGGTCAGGGCCGAGGGCCCCCAGGCAGCCCGCCCCACGCCTCGCACGCACGACGCTGGCACCCGACGGCCCGGGCAGAGGCTTCCCAGCAGAGGAGGGCGGGCCCCGTGAGGCGGGTGCTTCCAGCCTCCTTCCTGGGGGCGCGGGGGGCTCACCCCGGTTCCGGCGGAGCCGCCCCCAGTGGTAGCAGCACTCCTCCTCCCGCATGCAGCGGCCCGACGGGGACACGAGGTACTCGGCGCCACAGCGGCAGCAGATTCTGCAGGACGCTGTGAGGCAGCGGACGGCCGAGGCATCAGGCCCCGAGCCCCCTGCATCTGTCCCTTGCTCACCTTCGCGCCCCGCCCCCCAGATGGCCCTCCGCGAGCGCCCCCCAAGCATGGGTGCTCAAGCCCACTCACCGTCCTTGGGCTTCTTCTCCTCAGCCGTGAAGATGACGGCGCCCCCCGGCCGCCCGGGGTGTGGGAAGGGGTAGCCATTCTCTTTGAGCTGGTCCTCGGTGAGCAGGTACTCCTTGAGGCGGCCATACAGGGCGACCCCTGGGGACAACCGGGACAGGCGGTCATCCCACGGCAAGGCCGGGGAGGGCGCGGCAGGCGAGCAGGGGGGGCAGGCCTGGCGGGGGTGGGGCGGGAATGCTGCCACAGGAGCTACCGCTGAGCCCCCGAGTGGCCCGGCTGGACCGCTGGAGGGACCGGGCTCACCTTTCAGATCCTCCACCCGGGGGCTGCTCGGGCGGCTGAGCGAGAAGCTGGTCTTGGTGGCCAACTTGCCCCCCAGCACCATCTCATGGGACACAACCCTCCGGCCGCCGGTTTCTGGAAGTGGGGGGAGGATACAGTATGCTCAGACTCCCGGGTACACCCCTGCCCTCCGTGGTGGCCTGTCCCCTGGCCGGCTCCTCAGCACCCAGTCAGGAGAGGCCTGACCGCCTGTGACCTGGGGGCAGCCACCCTGCCCCCACCTTAGCTCTTCTGGAAGCAGCTGCGGGTGGTGGTCCTAAGGGACGGGGACGACCTAAGGGCCTTCGGGGGCTCCGTGGACGCTGTCCGCAGGAGACTGCGGAGGTGTGCGCACTGACGGATTAATGTGCATTCGGGGGCAGGAAAGAAACGTCCTCCCGGAGCTGAGCGTGCGGAGCAGGCCCCGGGAGCTTCGCCTCTGACGAGGCCGTCCCATGAGCGGGGCCCCTCAGCTCGAGAGAGCCAGCTAGCTAAGGAGGGCGGTTACTAGCGAGAAGAGGCGGTGGTGAGGCCGTGGGGCCGGAACATCGTCCGCAGAAGCCTGCCGACCAGCCGCCGGCCCCACCACAGCATTTCCCGTGGCCTTCTGTCCGACAGTCCCCATGCTCCGAGCGGCAAAGAGCCAGCCGGCCAGGGCCCCACGCCCCGGTTCCCTCGCCTGGGGAGCCTGGGGTCCTGCACTCAAGGCACAAAGCTGACTCTTCCAGACGTGAACTCCCCGGCCACCCCCTCCCCCCGCCCAATTTACTGTTGAGACCGGGCGCGGAGCTGGGGACCAGGCCCCGCAGCTTCTTGAGAGTGTTCACGGCGACATTCAAGTAGATGTTCTTGCTGGGGCTGCGGTCGTAGGCCAC